TTCATTTTCATTATCACTGTCAGCATCATTAGTAATAACAATAAGAATATCATTATAATTATCATCATCACTATCATTCCCAGTACCGTTACGATTACTATTACCATTATCATTATTATTATGAACATGTCTATTGTTGTCACTAGCATTATTGTTCTCGTTGTCTTTATTGCTATCGTCATCATCATTCCCATCATTTGCGTTGTCATTATCATTGCGCTTAGCATCAACTTCGGGCAAAAGACCCTCTTTCTGTAAAGTGATTGATCGAACAAATGGTTGCGTGTCTAGTGATTTAAGTCTACTAAATTTGCCTGATATCGAAGTTGCCATAACCTATTGCATGCCAGCGCGTTTGGAGGAGTTGGTATATATTTGTGTTGAGATTTTGTATTCAAGCCTGAGGGCAAAAGGCGAGACGATTGGAGGAGGGCATGGCTACACGTCTGTGGGATAAATAAAGGCAGCACTAGGGGCCGAAAGGAGGGAAGAAGAAGAAAAAAAAGGGATGAGACATTTCGGACAATTACTGAAGACAAGCGACATCTGAGTGTTTGCCAAGACGACGTGACCGTCATTTTGGTACCAACACTTATCCCTTCAAGCGTTGTTTGCGCGCTTGTGCTAACTGGATCACGAATGAAACGATTGCAAGTTAAAAGAGCCATGGACAGGCAGTCAGGCTGTCAGGCAGATGTGCAGACAGGCAGGGAGTTGAGGCAGGGAGGGGTCGGTGGAGGATTGACGTAGCAGCAAGATGGCAGATTAGCTGAACTGGATGAAGGAAATAAGGAGGCGAATTTAGCACACGCATTTCACTCATCCATTCACGGGGCCTTGTGAATTATTAATAAGTATTATTTGATTGACTTTAATCTCCTCCTGTTCCCCACTTCATGGAAATATCTGCAATCACCACCCTCGTCAACCAAGTCTTCTTCTTTTTCCTTCTCTTTTCACAGTCCCGGAATGCCAGAATTGCTTTTTCTCGCTTTTTCGGACGCCTAACGGCGCCTAAGTCCATTACTCAGAGGGCCCCCAACCCCCTTCTCCCTTTGATGGGTATGTGCTCATGTCCGATTGTCACGAGGTTTGGTGAAGACGGTGTGGGGCTATCTTTCCCTGAGGCTATCACTTTATCACAATGTCGTCCAGTTGTACTTCAATTGATTCGCATTACCCCTCCTCTCGGACAGATCCTCTCCAGACACAAACAAGCACGCATGTATGCATGCCTCTCTGCCACCAGACAGCCTTGATTGTGTGTCGGGTAGTTGCTTCAATTTAATTCCATTCTTCATATCTGCCTCCTTCAGTGCACACTCCTCACATGTACACACACACACACGCAGGGACATGTATTTGTTTCCTGTCGTCTGTTATGTTTTTCCCCTGTCACTGACACGAGCTGGACAAAACGGAGGCTTCAGACTCGAGGCTCCCAGTTTGATTGGTCTCTCAGGCCCTGAGTCCCTTACGTTGATCGGGGAGCCACGAAAATGCATCGAAATAAGAGTGTTAAATCTACCGTCTTGACGAATCTCATCAATCCGTGATGGTTGTATGTAGAGAATGGAGATCTAATGCGGCCACAGCGAGCATAGTTGTGTAAAAACCCTCAGACGACATTCTATAAAAGTCCAAACGGAATATTTTTATCCCAGACCTCTCCTCCGTATCGATTCTGTATACTCTACGTCTAGGCAACACCAAAGTGGAGTTGATCGGCCGTATGGTCTCCCCGTAAAGAGAGTCTGAACATGGTCTTCTAGCCTTCAGTAGCCCTGGTGACTGGGGTTGAATACATATTCCCATCATCACTTCGGATTTCCCCACTGGGTGGAGTGAAACCAGCATGTTCTACAAGTGATAACCATTGCCTTTCAAATAACCGGATCAAGTATGTCAAGTACGATGAATGTAAAAATGTCTCAAAGCTCTTTTCATGTGAGTAATAGTTGAGATTACCAGTAATTCTTGAATAAAAGCTCATTCAGCCGGAATCGCTTAAGGTAATTTAAGGAATAATATTCAAGCTTTCCACAATGAGCAGTAGTAGACATATTGAATGTGAGTAGTATTCGAGACTATAAGTAATTCTTGATTAATAGCTTATTCATCTGGAATCGCTTAAGTTAATTTAAGGTCTAATATTCAAGTTTTCCACATAGAGCAGTAGTAGATATATTTAATGTGAGTAGTATTCAAGACTAAAAGCAATTCTTGATTATAAGCTTATTCAGCCGGAACCGCTTAAGTTAATTTAAGGACTAATATTCAAGTTTTCCACAATGAGTAGTAGTAGATATATTGAATGTGAGTAGTATTCGAGACTATAAGTAATTCTTGATTAATAGACTATTCATCTGGAATCGCTTAAGTTAATTTAAGGTCTAATATTCAAGTTTTCCACATAGAGCAGTAGTAGATATATTTAATGTGAGTAGTATTCAAGACTAAAAGCAATTCTTGATTAAAAGCTTATTCATCTGGAATCGCTTAAGTTAATTTAAGGACTAATATTCAAGTTTTCCACATAGAGCAGTAGTAGATATATTTAATGTGAGTAGT